GTGAAAGTCAGGCAATCCCTGGAAAGTTAGTGAGCCACACAGCACTGCTGCAGGCTAATCTGGCCCCTGTTGAAAAGACGTCAGCAGCGCACTGTGCCAGGTTCATGAACAAAAGAAAGTTACATAACACCGCACAATCTCGGCTCTTTTTACAAGGCTGCAGGCCTGGCTGAAATAATCGTGCATCAACAGATTTTGTCTGTCAGGCTACAGTGGCCACCAGGCAGTAATTCATGTGTAAAGAGCCATTAATTGAAATGATGAATTTTTGAAGATTTTTGAAAACTGATAATCTTGAAATTCGACCGTATGCGTGCACTATATTTTTCAAACCACCCCGCAGCATGTGGTTTAAATGAAAATTGGTCATGTACGCTCCATGCAAAGTATGCATGAAGGTCATGAACCTACAAGCATACATGGTCATGGTGTATAACATCCCCCAATCTTCTTTGCATCCCCTCGAGCTTGTGAAGTCTCACCAGGTAGATCCTTGACTGGCTGTTGTTTCATGAACTCAGCGGCATCCTCTGACTCCAGGAAGAACTGGCCGTTGGGTTTGGCTTTCCTGGTACTCATGCGGGCCAACAGAATATTGGCAGCTAGAGGCAGAGCGTTTACAGTAGCAGTTAATATTAAGTCGACCATCAAAATTAAAATTTACAACCCCCAAAATTTCTTAACGAAAGAGACACCAAAACTTTATCTGAAAAAGTAAGGTGGGATCTGGAACAGACACTTCAGGAAGAGGGTGCCTTCAACAGGCTTCACAAACACATACATGTACATGTGCACAAACGCAGTGCACAAAACATCTTCTCATACATGTCTGCTCTAACAATTCTTTTTTGCAATCTCTTCCAGACATGAAGTAGGATCAGTAGAGGAGACTGGTCTATTTTGTAAAATATGTCTTTGCAATACACATTTGATTGAAACATGACACCAAAGGGCCATTTTGAAAATGAAATCTGTCCAAGAATTTCTCAGCAGATTTACTTACCGAGTCCCACTGAAGCACTACACTGGGTCTTGTCCTTGATCTCTCTACGGAGTACCCGTGCCAGATCTAGGGGTGCTGCCCCTGTGTCTTCTAGGATGCTGGTCACATCAACAAACATTTCATCACAGCTCACAGCCTCTATGTCATGTGTATAACTAGAAAAGAAGAAAAAGCAAGCATTTAACTGTTAGTTAATGAATTGCAGATTGATTCTTCAAATGAGCAAGACTTTAAATCAAATTATTATACGAGGATCGTTCAGGATATTTACATGTACACATGCACATACCAATGACAGTACAGCTTCCAGTAAATAAACACATGAACACGCACAGGTATGTATTAACATATCATCATTGTACATCATCATTAATGATTCTGAAATATCTCCTAGTAGTTATAATGCAATGCACGATGCATGCGTAAAATGTGTACAACTCGTGTCAATTGGTTTTTTAGAAAGTAAATACTTACCTCGCGACAGTCTCATACAAGGTTTGTGAGACACTCTTGTAACCCTCAAAGTCATAGGGTATGGTCAGCAGGTCTGGGCAACGTTTCCTGGCCTCTCCCATGAACATACCGTTCTTGACGCCAGCCTTGCGAGCCTCGTAACTGCAGCTGGCTATTTCTGCCATGGAATTGAAAGTCTCTGCATGCACATGTACCCTGTTTACTTCTGGCTTGGCCGCAGGGGGTGGCATAGCTTGGGAAGGGGATGGTGCTGACTGTTTGAGACACTTGGAAGGCTGGTCTGGCAATGATGACGCTTCTCCGAGATATGTCTGTGCACTTGGCAAATCTGATTCCACAGGAACCGGTAGATTCTCTGCTGACGTTTTGCCTTCTGAACAACCCTCTGTCTCCTGTATGTAAGTCTTGGCCAGATCCACGTGTCGACTCTTCAAGCCTTTGCTGCCATCTTGCTTGTACTTGCTTGAATAGTAAGCTGCCTCAAATTCCCTTGCTTCTTGGTTTCCTTCAGGCATCCCCTTACCCTTAGAGTGGGTCACAGCGACTGGTTTCCCTTGCAGGTCAGGTCGATTGCGGAGTCCAACAGATACAAAGAAGCAGTCCATGTCAATGTGCATGATGACACGTTTGGGCTTATCTACATGTACTTCACCACAATTTGGTCTTGCAGAATGAGTTTGGAAGAGCACTGGGGTTCTTGAGATCTGATGTTCCTCGTTTACCACGTCAGTCTGGGGTTTTATATCAAGCAGTTCTCCTGAGCTTGGTGGTGAATCGTTGTGATCCTCGATGAATCGTCTCAATTTCTCCCGTCCTGGGAAGCTTATGTCGCCAAGGCTCTGCAACTTGTTGACAAAGGCCTTGAACTCTGCCCCCCAAGTGGATATGTGATGAAGACGCGAGTTGCTGTAAAACTCTGACAAAAAATTAGGGTCGCCTGCCTTGGCAGGACCTTTGCTGTTTCCAAAGGATTCACGACACTGATCCTTCACGGCACTGGCTTTCAATGGCGGGGAATTCATGGAATTGACATTGACTCCATTTTCAGACAAGGAAGTCTGAGAGGCATGGGAAGCTGAAGAGCGACTTTCTGGTGAGCCAATTGATTCATAACTCTTGCCTAGAAATTCCACCATGCTGTGACCTTCAGGACTTCTCAGTGTGGTTCGCTGATAGCTGGAAACATTGTGAGTTGTACTCTTGGCTTCACCGACCGTTTCTTCCACTGCAAATGTGGATGTGTTGGGCTTGTTTCCCATTGTTTGAGGACAACTCTTCAAATTCGTGAACTTGAGTGTATCCTGAGAATTTGTTCTGTTGGTGTACAGTTGGTAAGGTCCATCTGGCAGTAACCTCCCCGCCTTGATACTAAAAATGAACCGAGAAATAGAAATGACTTAATTTACTTTTACACAACCCCTCCAAGATTGCTCAAAAGCAACTGCAAATTAAATCTGATGTCTCAAAACATTCGCAGCAAAATTTCACAAATATATCCCATTCGATTTTGTGTCAATAAACCGGCCTTAACAGTGCACTACGTACAGTGTAAATGCATGCTGCTTTTTGATAAAAGTTTGAATCACGTCTCTGCAAACTTGTAAGACCATGAAACTTTCTTGTAAGCAGCAAGCTGGATTTCAAAACAAAAAGAGCAGATTCCAAGTGGGAAACACTCCCCCAAAAGGAAATGTTGCCTTGCCCCTACAGTACACAAGACGTTACCTACATATACACACTGTGCTCTAAATCTCACACAACTGATGCTCGAATAGGCAACTGAAAATTTCATGTACCTCTGAAAATTTGGAGGACAGCATACACTTAGAAAGAATCAAATATGGAAAATGAATTTGACACTGAAGTGACTGAAACCAACAAGCAAATACTGTGCAACTTGGCTTAGATTTTGAACAGAAACATGCAACTTGTATGAAATGCATAGGCAGGTACCTGTCTAGAATCCACTCTGGTTTGACTATTTTCTCATCTCTCAGTTCCTTGATCTTAGCATAGGGCAGTCTGGTTGCTATGACATGGGTAACTTTGGTCTTACTGTAGTAGTGATGATACATACCACCATGCAGCATCATTAAGCGCTTCAGCTCATCAGATGAAGGCACTGTGGGTAGGCGACATACAAACAAAACATGAAGTTTTCATAAAGAAATATTTAAATTTCAGTCAAACACAAAGAAAAAGGTCTAACCAAAATTGAAATATCTCTAAACCTTTTTTCTGAATGTTAGCAAGCTAGACAGTGAAATTACATACGGAAGTGGCAACATGTACATTACTCAAATGGAACCCTCAAGAAGACAGTGTTTGTGTGTGCCTTACATCCTTAGGCATCAAGCAATGGAACCCTCAGGAAGACAGTGTTTGTGTGTGCCTTACATCCTTAGGCATCAAGCAATGGAACCCTCAAGAAGACAGTGTTTGTGTGTGCCTTACATCCTTAGGCATCCAGCAATGGAACCCTCAGG